GGTCGCCCAAAGTGGGGTGGGAGGGAGCTGAGGGGAGGTGAGGTGGGCGCTGGAGGCGGAGGGCGGCGCAGGTGGGGCCGCGGGGAGGGCCAGGCGGCGGTACCTCAGGAACGGCTCACCTCGTGTCTCCTGAGGAGGCTGGGGTTGAGGGTGGGTGAAGGAGGAAATTTGGGGAATAAATACTTTTTTTCTGATAAGGAGGAGGGGAACAGCAGGGTTATAGGACCGGTATTCCTTCAACAAAATAAATTCTGAGTTTAGTGTGTGTGTTTCTGAGGAAGGAAGGGATGCTGTTGAGCTGTGTGCTGGCATCTCTTTAAAAACAATGAGTTATGGGAAGGCTTGTGCCTCTGTGAGTTCGACAAGTTTCCCTTTGGCAAGGTGGTTGGTATTGGTGCTATTTATCTGAATTTCATAGCAGGCAGCGTGGAAGGATAGTGGGTTTTTGGAGTTGTGATTCTCACCTTATGCTTATAGGAGGCATCTTGCTCGAGAGACCCTCTAGTGTTGCCCATCCAGAGCCAGAAGGTAAAATGTTGATGAGATGAGAGTGACCAAATGATCTGTACTGTCTCCTGAAATGTCTTATTTGTATAACATTTTTATCCATAGGGTAGCAAAAAATTAGAAATCTGTGCTTTAGAATCTAGTAAAAGCATGGCTTTTGTTTCAGGAGGTATGGAGTAATTATTAAAGATGGAAAACAAATAGGAAAGAATATTTTAGGAGACACTTTTGAGAGGGGAGAAAAGAGAAACTCAGTACCCTAGAAGATGACAGTTGCTCCAAATGTAGGTAATGGCAGAAAAAAAGGAGAGGAATAAAGATGGGTGTGTCTCTCTGCAGGTGAGACTGGTATTATGTAGGAATTAAGAAGTTATAATTAGTTAATACTTGTTCTTACTGCAGATAAGAAGGGCAGGTGTGAGTATTTTATGGAGGGGAAGGGCCAGACTTGTGACACTTGATTTTGTAAGTCATACAGGTCTTACTGTGGGCCCAAGCTTACAGAGCATAAGAGTTCACTTGGGGTAAAATGATCTACCGAGTCGACCTCAGGATCTTTTATTTAGATAAATGTGTGCATCTTGTGGTTTAGGCACAGGTGTAGCATTGAAAACATGCAAATATCAGTGTTCATGTTTCTACCTATAGATGGTGATGTACTGCTGTCGTAGATTTCTATTGTTAAAGTAACTTTTTTTTTTCCCCTTGGTGGTGGTGTTAGTTCATACCTCTTTTTTGAATAGTAAATAAATATGGATTTAGTTTGAGCAGAATAACCTAAACATGTCTTAGATGTTGCTTGTCTGTTACTAAAGCAGCAGTTCAGTACTGCTGCGATGGGGGATTTTTTGCCTTTTTTTTCTTTTTCTTTCTTTCCAGCAGCAAGTGTATTAAACTCACTTAAATTGGATGATGCCTCTTCTCCAAGGCAAGTCTTTGGCAGTTGTACCCAGTCTCCTCCACTCTTCTGTAATGTATCTGTTGCTGACTGTGGAGGGAATGGTGTGTTATTGCTGCTGATTTGGCAGAAGTGCAGCCTTTGGATTTACTGCTGTCTCTCACTGTCAAGACTGGAGTAGTTTCTTCTTAAATTTTATTCTAACTCATACTCAAATATTTTTTATCCTGTTGGTCACAGTTTGTGTATTCTGTAGTTAGTGTTTTTTGCATAAAAATTATTTTTTACATAATTATTTTTCTGTTTCTTGATTTCTGAGTTTGATGCATATGGCCTTTCAGATGTCTTATTGTTACTGGATCCTTAGTATGGTCAAGCAAGATTGGTGGGAGATCAGTCCTGCCTTTTTGGGTAGAAGGATGGAGATCTCTGAGCCTGGTAGGTTTCATCTGGTATCTCCTCTAGGGAGAGGTCGCAGATGGATGGTGTGCCTGTGCTTGGGAAGGGAGGGGTAGAATTTCAAGCTCCTTTTGAATATCAGGGAGACCAAAGTAAGATTTAGATCAGGGATTTTTGATCATTAATGCCAGATCTTTGCATTCCTAGGGCAGTGGTACACATTTAATTGTTGTTATTATATATTGGCTCATGACTGTATTCCTGGGGAGTTAGAACACATGATACAGAGTTTGATGGGCTCTGTGCTTTTGTAATGGCTGCAGGAGAGCAGATAATACCTGCTGCAGCATAAGACCTGCCAGTACATAGTTAACTGTTAAATAATTTTTGAATATGTTTAAACCAACAGAGAAGCCTACACCAGATCTGCACTTTGCATAATTTGGCCGTAGTGTTCTTAATCCAGAAAGTAAGTGTCGCTAAGTTAATACTGGGGCATTTACTCACTTTAAAACTGTGTGCTTGTTAAGAATATTTTTTTTTCTAGTGAGCTATTAGTATAGGAATTTTTATAGACCTCTTTGAAGAGGTTTTTCTTGTTCAGTGACAAGTGTTACTTTGTGAGCTACATGGTTGGCATGAGTATTTTGACTACTGCTTTAAACTACTGGTCTCTTGTAGAATCTTCTTGTCACTTACAGGTAAAACATGCCACATGCTTGCTTAAGAAATCGTGTAGAGCTTCTTAAGATGTAATTGAAGTATGTACGTGTATTTACAGTAGTATAGTGTTGATCTGGTATTTGATTCTCTGAAGTGATTTGAAATCTGTTACCCTTCTTGCTTCTTTTTTAATGTATTTTGTCTTTTCAGCTCGTAGCTCAGAAGTGGGAGGAACTGCTTCTGGGCAGCATTTGACTTTATGATTAGAAATTCTCCAGTATTTAAAACCCCTCCTGATTGCAGCATGCTTCCACACGCAAGAGAGTAACAGAATGCTTCTGGGTGGGGAGAGAACCAGGGCTGGTGGGGAGAGAACCAGGGCTATCGGTGGTGCCATTAATGCCTAAGGAACAAAAACATAGTGCTGTAGCAATGTTTGTGGTGTTTTTGCAGGTACCTTTTGGTTTTTGGCAAAGACCAGCTATGGAGAAGTGGAGCTTAATGACAATTACTGTTTTACTGGCGCTTACTGTACGCTGGGCTGTATCGCTTGGGTCTTATTCAGGTAATACATGTTCATGGTCTGTAAAACAACCATGTGAAGGTGAATTATGGAGCTTGTGATAAATTAAAATAAACTTGCATGTAGATTCATAAATAGGAAGCAATGTGTTTTTTCAAGTATTGTATTTTATTGCCTCTCTATTTACCTGAGGTTCATATAATACCTTATTCTTATTTTTCTGAAGTGTGTAATGATTAACATCACAGCTGCTTGGAACAAAATGCTGAAAAAAAAACCCCACAACTTTTTTTTTTTTTTGGAGGGGGTTGGTGGTCAGTAATGTTTTAGAAGGAGCCAAAGAACAGCTGGCTGTTCACCCCATGCCTTTGTTGTTTCAGTAGCTGCACAATATTATTGCAGTCCAGTTGTACATTTGTTTAATCTTGTCCTTTAAGCTCTACAACAGCTATAGCCTTAATTTATATTTAGATAAGACTGTACTGGTGATAATGAAGACAGCATAAAGAGGACGTGGAGTGAGAGGTTGCACTCTGCTTTGTAGCTATACTTCCCTAAGACTGTTTACAGCATGAACTAGAGCTATAATATTTTAATAGATGAGTTTTTTTCCTCCCCACCTCATAACTCTTGCAAAGAATTACATTTTTTTTTCCAAACCTCTCAATGCCATTCATATGCTTAGCATAAGCTTGCACAAAGCTTGCTCTCTCCAAATTTATTTTTTTTTTTAAATGAACCGTTACTTTCAATCCCCGTCAGCTGAAAGAATCACAAGCTCAGTCAAATTCAACTCTGGTTTTCTCTCAAGGCAATTGGGAGCCTTATCCCCTGAGGAGCTGGAGCTGTTCAGTAGTGTTCTAGTGATTTTAAACTGGTGACTTCTGGGTTTCATTTGCTTGAAGATAAGTAGCATGCATACCTTCTTGCATGGTTGTTTTATTTTGAGTTTGCTTTCTGAAAATGCCATTATAAGAGATCTGTGGGTAACTGAGGCTTTCTTGTACCCATCTATTCACAGAAAAACAAACACCCTGTATTTTGCCATACAATACTACATTTTGGTTGCACTGCAAGTATTTGCAATTGCATCACTAACTAGATTTTTTAAGTTGATTTAATTTCAAAACAGTCACGATTCTGACAATCCTAAAATAATGCCTGAGCTAAAATAACAACTTTTTAATCTTGTTTCCTACCCATGATTGTGTAGCTGCTTTTGGATAGGAAAAGCTGAGTCTTTTCCAATTCAGCAAATTATTAAAGCATGTGCTTTAACTTTGAGCATGGGCTGGCTGAAAAAAAGACAAACCTGAATGTTAGAGCTGTCAAATGCATAAATACACTGGAATTCTTTTTTTCAATTTGACTTCCTTCAGCTGTAATAAACCTTTAATAACAGGAGCAAGAAAAAAAAATTGTGCAGGGTAATGTTTAAACTGACGTGGTCCTTTTGTGTCCTGGTGAGATAAAGTTGAGCAAAGGATTAAAAGTAGTCATTGTTCTCCGACGCAGACTGTGGTAGAAATCCTGATTTGGCATACTCTGAAACCATGTGTGGCACGGATGGCTGGAAGTAAGGGGCTTGATTCTGCCCTCGTTTACTGTATGGTCTTGGATTGCTCTGTCGTTTCCATTCTGTTGGTGCTTGCCATCTAGCGTGCTTTTGGATCTGCCCCTGGAATTAATGCCGTGATGGTGAGAAAGCAGATAAGTAGTACCTAGTTTTGAAAGGTTACCATTTACAATGACCTTAGATTAGTTGGTTTTGTAGAATTATTGAGGAAAAATTTGGCCTCATAGATTAATGCATATTTTTTTTAATGCATTGCCAAACTGCTGCTAAATAGTAGAAGCTAAATACCCATGCTGAAAGGCAGCTTTGGACCCTTAAAAATGACTGTTTCCAGGTAACCGAAAAACTGAATAAGACCACTCTGAAGTATTTGTGACGCCTTAAAAATAAGACTCAATTTTTATTAATTCTGAATTCTGTTTGGCTGTATACTTGATGCTTGCTGTGGATGGAAGCTAAACATGAATACTCAAACTGAGACGTGATCAGTCTCTCTGTTTGGCTTTAAGTAATCAAACCTTTGGATTAAGATCTCTCTTAATCATTCTGAAGCCAATTTCTTTCTTTTCCTTTTTTTTTTTTGAGAGGGGAGAAGCTGAAGTAAAATATTTGTGTTTATATATGTATGTGTGTATATACACACAAACACGTACATGCTTTAAAATTAGGATAATGGCTATTTTTTTCAGTAATCCTGTGACAGGTTCTTTGTTCCACTAGATTTCTGGCTACAGAATGGACACTTCATATGACTCCTGTTCTCCAGTGACCTCACTTATTTAGGAAACTTCTAGTAATCTACTCTCTCTGCTACCTGGGAATAAATTAGTGGATATAATCCACATTCTTCACTGCCCAGGGATAAGTACTGCATATCTGAGCTTGCCTGACTCTGACAGACGTAGATCATATGAAAAAATTATAGATGGCTTTCCTATATTTTAAAGAAACTCTTAAATCTTTGTCTGGATAGTGTCAGTATTTTACTGGAAGTACTATCAGTCCAGTTTCTGTTCTCAGTAGTCAGGTTAATAGAAGTAAATAAACTCTGTGATAAAGACACTTAACATGCTGCCATTATCAGAGTTAAGCTTCCGTTGAGGGAGTTGTTTATGAATAGACATCTGAAGTATTTGCATTGATAAAGCTTATTTTCTGTGGGGAAAAAAAAAATCTTAGTTTTCTGAGAGACTTATGTATGCATGTGTGAAAAGTGTCCTTTAACGTAATTTACTTTGCAGAACTGCTACATAACAATCACTCAGTTGAAAAATGTGTGAGGGAGAATTCCTGTAAACCAAAATGGAGCAGTTATTATTTAGAAAGCTTTGTAGATCGTAAGAAAAAATTATTCTAAAGCCATTCTGTGTACTGAATGGCCTGGCTTAGTAAATGGCTCATCATTACTCTTTATTATGAATCGTGGGGAAAGGGACGGATGCAGTGTTCTTGCTGGTGTTGCAAAGCAGGCAGCAGAGGAAAGGGAGAGGACTGGGGGACTTGCAGCAGGTCCTAGTTCTAAGTAAATTTAAAAATAAGACTGCTTGTTACTTTTAATAGCAAGGTACCGTGACATGGCTGAAACACAAGCGAGAACATTGTCAGTTATTATATACTGAGGAAGTAGTAGTTCACACCAAATCAGTATAAGATGTCCATTATGTACGTTTTCTTATTTCAGAGAAAGTGCCACATTTTTCATCCACGCTTGGAAATGATTTTTTTTTGTCAGATGAGGAAGCAATTCTTCATAGTGGATTATCTTGATAAATGCTTATTGCAGAAATTTCCAGAAAGCCAAAAGAATGCATAACTTTTTTTTTCTCCCTGTTAGACTGTATAGCAGATGAGGTTTCTATTTAGTTTTCAAATATCATAGAGGAATGAAGAATAAAATTAGTACTATATTTGTATGCTTATATGTACCTGGAGGAAGAGCAATCTGCATAAACCAAATAAATTCCTGAATACTCTTGTCATCTCTTTTTAGGTGCAGGAAAACCACCTATGTATGGAGACTATGAAGCTCAGAGACATTGGCAAGAAGTTACTTACAATTTACCCATCAGGCAGTGGTACGTAGTGCTATTGTAGTTCAGGTTACAAAGGGGTAAATGTAATGAAATGTGGTTCGTACTTACTTTAATATACCTTTAAGATCTCTGCAACGTTGGCTGTCTTCTGCACTATTCTAAAAACCCTTTTGCAGTAATAATATCACCCTGTTCTTAGACTAAGGTACTGTTTTCTTAAAAAAAAAAAAAAGAGCTAAAATTTGGAACTCTGACATGCTGGCTGTGAGCATGTATAATGAAATATTCTGTCTGGTAGGTGTCTCTGTTGTGAACTCCAGCTTTGCTTTGAATTGACTGGAAAGATCAAGAAGCAATTTTTTAGCAGGCTTATATGAGAGATCATAGAGACGCTTGTTCTCCTGGTTTAGAAAAAAATCAGCTTCCTGAGTTCCAGTTCTCTAATGCACAAAACTTCTCCTGATTATCAGCAGTGACAAAACCAATCCAAACTGCTCATCCCCACTAAGCTAAGAGGCAGGGGCATGCCAGTAAATGCAGAGACTTGAATTCTTGTGCTGGAGGCCTGGGCTGGTTTTTACACCTGTGAGTTCATCGTTCACACCCATGCTCTTAATATTGATTTTAAAATGTGGATGCCTTGAATCTAGATATAGGGATAGTGAATTTAATTTGTACAGATCACTTAAAACTGTAGGAAAATTATTTAAAATATTTTATTTATTTTTGCATTATTTCTAATACTCCTTGTTTGGAACACTAAAAATTATTTAGTCCGTATATATGCTACTGCACAAATTGGAATAAATTCAAACTCCAGGTCATCTTTCAACAGGGATAGTTGCATTTGGTTTGTCTGGAGTAATTTTTTTCCCTCAGCTATCTGTTGGGAAACAGACTGATATGACAGAATAGAATATTAATTCAGTTGTAGTTCTACAAATATATGTGGGACCAATTTTGGAACTACGGCACTCTGTGGAACTCTGCAGATGACTCTGTTGTGATTTCGGATTATCCCATTGGATCTATGTGATAATTTATCTTTTACAGTTTTCTGGAATATCCAAACCTCTCATTATGCCAGAGTTGGGATAATGGAGAGCTGACATAAGAATAGAGTTGGCAGCTTTGATCCTCTCTGCCACATAGAACTATATGTATTTAAAATGAAGAGTTACAGGAGTTATTTCTAGGCATTCCTAGAGGGCAGATGAAACTATATTGCAGGCTGGGTTTAGCCTATGGGCTGCCAGTTGGGCATCTCGGTCTTGTTGTATTTGCTCTTCATTTTAATAGAAGTTTTTTTTATTGGGTCTGCTTTGAGAATTCTATCTCTAGTACAGTCAAGTCACATTTGGTCTTGAATGTTTGGAAAAGAGCTCTTGGCTGACATGCAAGGATTACTTTCTGAATACTAAGCTGTCTTTCCCATCCTGTATTATGGAAATATGCAGTGTGAAAAGATGTTCTACTCCAGTATCTAAAAAATAGCGTTCAAATTTGAAGTTGAGATTCTCATCACTTCTGGTGCTGTTATTTGTTTAGTGTTTAGAAAAGCTGTCTATGCAGCAAGCGTGTGTTCTTCGGTAGATTTGTCTAGGTAAATGTAGAGAGTAGCTCTCTGGTGAGGACATAATCCTATAAGATCTCTTGATTTTTATTTTTTTTTTTCACAGAATTAATTGTCATGTTTACTGTTAAACAGGCACGTATAGGTAATGCAGCTGCATGTTCCGTGCTTATTTGCTTTGATCCAAAATGAAGATTTATTAAAAAAAAATGCTGCAGTAAACTATAGTATGGTTTGTACTTGGTTTCCGTGTGTGAGATTTCTCTGAGCCAGAGGCCAGAATTTACGTTTCTTTTTTATGTTATACTTTAGATCCTTGACATTATTTATTAAAAGTTACTTTAAGAACATCCTTCTTTTATTATGCTGCTAATTAAAATAATGGAGGCTTTTTTTGCGAAGTATTACTAGGTATAGGGATCGCTTTTTCTGTTGAAACTATAAGTTTATAGAAAGTAAAATTAAACAAACAAACAAAACCCAAATCAAAACTGGAAAGTTTACTACTAAGGTGCACGCTGTCACAATCTGCATGAAGAATCCGCACTGCCTTGACCTGAGCAATCTTGAATCGTAGGATAAGAAGCAGAGATGCAACTCAAAGAAATATGATTTATCATGAGTTCATAAGACACTTCAGGGAACTCATAAGGAATTCAAGAAATATAATCTATTATAATAAATGTCAAAAATTGTCTTCATTTGAAGAGAGAAACAGGAAAAGGCAAGAGCTTGCTTCTTGGCAGTTAGACTAGTCAGTCTGTTTTGCTGTAAGATATAGAGGATCTGATACCTTGTTTTTGTAACTTCTGTTTTCCTTGGATAAAACTTTGTTTCTCATTTGGAAGAGGTGACTTAATTTTAACCACTGCAAGCCTTCCATAGAAATACTGACGCAACATCATTACAAATGGGAAAATCCCTTTTCCTTTTCGTTCATGTGGTCTGCCTGGGTTTTGAGGTGGAACTGTGGCTGACGTACCTGATGGAGGTTTATGACCTTGTGTTGCCTATTCAGGAGGTGTTACTCTAATAACCTGGTGTTGCCTTCTGAGGAATTTTTTATTCTCCTCACTCCTACGTTCATGCTGACAGAATTGCTTAGGTGCACCTGCTGTGGCATAGTTTTCTTCCACAGCTATGCTGCTTTTTATTTGTTTGTATAATATCTTAATGCCAACCTTTTCCACTTCTTTTCAGTTGCTTTCCAGCAGTATAACTGCAGCTGTTTTTTTTCAGAATTTTCATATTAAGGTCTGTTGTGCAGAAGCAGTTCACAGCTTTGTACATTACAGACTAGAAGAGCAGCAGATAAAGTTTAACTATTCAGAAGTCCTTGTCACATCTTAAAATTACTGTCCAAGTCCAGAAAAAAAAGAGGAGTCCAGGAAAAATATCAGGAAAAGTCACTAGTGAATTCTATTTCTTTTGAGATTTCCTCTTAACTGCATTGGTTTTATTTTGTTTTTGGCAAATTGGCTGCTGTCTTCTGAAATAATTGATGTGTATGAAAGATATAGGTTTGGTTTGTAAATGGAGGTGAGGACCTGCAAAGCCTACCACATACAGAGCTACAGTAGATGTGCACGGCTGATTTTGTGCAGCCTTTGTCTTTAGCTTCTCGAATTTTGTCAAACTCTGTTCACGTTAAGGATTTTCCCTCTCCAGGTAAGTAAGCTCTTGCAGCTTTTTTAAATCTTCTGTTTTGCAAACAGAAGTGAGTGTATTGTGAATCGCTTTTGTTTTGTTGCTTGAGATTTTTTTGTGTAAAGTAAAATAAAGCAGATACAGAAGTTGCTAATGTCCTTTTGGATTTTGAATATGTTGCTAAAAACATTTGGTTTAATATTCAGGTTTTTCCTTGGGCTGAAACAAATCTGGAAATGTAGATCCTTCTTTAATTTTTTTTTTTAGGTACTTCAATACAAGTGATAACAACCTACTGTACTGGGGTCTTGATTATCCACCTCTTACTGCCTATCACAGTTTTCTGTGTGCTTACATGTAAGTCCATTATTTTAAATACTTCTGTGGAGAATACAAAACACCAAATTCACACTTCCCACCCTGGCCTTTTTTTTTTCTTTTCTTTTTTTTCTTCTGAGGAGTGAAACTGCTAGCTAAAAACTACCAATCTGGGGCAGCTGATGAAATGGAAAGTATTGTTTGCTACTTTGAAGCTGGGGAAATAGATTTTATGGCTATCTCTGTTGCTTAAAACTAATACTGCTATTTTTCTCTTTTGTAATTATTGCAAGGGGGCTGAAGGGGGGCTGTTCTTTTTGCCAGGCCCTTAATTTTCAGCAGATTTAGACGTGACTTAGATTTTTAGCTTTCCATCTAAGCCCCTGTTGGATCAGTGAAGCACAGAGAAAAATGCTGTAGGAATTGGGTGCATCGCATGGGAAACCTCTTGTATTGAGAGCCCAAGTGACATTTGATGACTGGATATCATGTAAATAGAATTCTGTTATTGGAATACTTTTTCCACAAGGGCTTTACTGCTGTTGGAATGAGACTTATGGAATAAGAATGTAGGTTAAAGTGCACAGGCACAGCTATGTGGGGCATCTATCTGAACTGTAAATGGTTTATATTTAATACGTAAGTATGAAAGGTATTTACAATTGTTTTTTTAAAAGTCAGTGGAACTAGTCTGAAGGTGGTTATCTTGTCCTAATAGATATTGTATTCCCTTTTTACTGTTTTCAATTTTTTTTTTTTTAATTGTGAAGTAGCAGCTAAAGTCTATAGTGTGAACTGATCTAGTGGTGAGGGAAATCTTTCATTGATCACTATTGCTTTTTGAAATATTTCTTCTCATTTATCTTAATTCTTGGAATATGCTCCTGTGCATGTCATCTTTATTGCTGCAAGGAGTGTAAAGGGAAATGAGAACTGTCTACATTTTGATGTGTCTGTACTTTGTTTTACAGTGCAAAGTTAATAAATCCTGATTGGATTGCTCTGCACACATCTCGGGGGTATGAGAGTCAGCCACATAAGTTATTTATGCGTGCAACAGGTAGGAAAATTATATTTCCTTAGGATGATCGTACAGATCTGTCTAGCTTACTAATTTAGTGTGTTTAATATCTGTCTTCACCAGTTTATGCTCAATTCTTTGATTTGGGTGGCTTTGGAGGTCCATTTATGAACCAGACTCTGTTCTCTTTTCTTCTGCTACCATTTGTGAAGCTGATAAATATAAAGCCAAGTTTTCAACTAAATTGGTTCAGTAAAAACTCTAAAACAAACCTACTTTTTTTTGGTAGCCTAGACATATTTTTTAATTTAGTGAATAGTATTGTTATTTTCCTTTCCATTCTGATAGATTTGTTTTTCATTTTCAGTTTAGCCTGTTTTTTATTGTAAAATTATTTTGCATGTAGGCTGGCGTTCACTGACTTTACTTAACAACCTCTTAGGGTCTCAGATCTTTGTTATGAGCTGTTATACTTTATCTGAAGGGGGGAGATATTTGATATTTTTAAAGATGTTGCTTTTCTTTCAGATGGTCATGATTTTCTAGAGATAAACTTCGGTTAACAAAAAAGTAAAAATGTATTTTTCCCCACTTTTATCCTAAATTTAATTTTTCTGCAGTCACTCGTCTGACCTTTTGATTAGTTTGCACTGCCTCTACAAAGAAACAGATATAACAAGTGCAGAAAAAAAAAACTTGTAGATAACTTCAGTAGCTATATCGGTAAGACAGCAAACAGCATGGCCAGTGGGCTCCTGTTCTCTAAGCAATGGCAGATGCCATGTTATTCTGTTACTGTTTTCTTGCATTTTAAATGTCTTTTGCTTCACTTAACAATAGAGTTCCACAAAATGCTTTCTGATTGCAACAGCAGAATTTGTTGTTCATTAATAGCTTTTCTGTACTTCACAAACCTCTCAGTCTGGTCTCTAGTAATTGATTGAATTGAAAAGAAATAAAAATCACTAGAACTTAATTACCCTTGAAATGGTCTTTATTAATTTTGAAATCAACTCACTTGACAAACCACTGGTGGTTCTAGGAGAACTGATAAGCACTTTTTAACAGTAGCCATTAGAAGAATACGTTAAAATAATTCAGAATGGTCAATGTCAGCTGTTGGCATTACACCTTTATTTTAAGTGTCAGTGTATTTGTTTTGCTAACGCCTTGGGTATATTTGGCTTAAGCTAAATAATGGATAATAACATCACTGAATAGCTGATATCTTTATAAACGTTTTCTTCCAAAGCCCATGACTAAAAAGAGGCAAAGCATACCTTCCCTCTTGGAATAATTGCACTTTTTCTGAAACTGATTTATGGAAATAATCTGAGATTTTTCTCAGGCTCTTAAAGCAGCACTCAAGAAGAATTCACCAGATGGTTTAAGCACAAGCAGGAGTTCACGTAATTCCAGTCAAGTGAACCTGCTGAGTCTGTTTTCTTGGTGACCCTGTTATGTATATTTGCTGTAGGCAGGTGATAAAAGCCAAATAACTAGTTTTAGTCTGTTTATCCACATCACTAGTAATTCACACAGATACACTGGAGATTATATCATAGAGCTTCTTAATTATTTGTTTCTTCAGAATATCTGTTCCATCAAACAACTTGCCTGGATCTAGTTGTAGTTGATTTCTTTTGAGAATTAAGAATGCCTTCTCTCATTTCGGCATGTGAGGAACTAGAGTGTGCTCCCTTATTGACTGAGGCTGTGCCAGAAGCCAAAACAGCTGAACTCATGGAAGCGGCAGCTTTTGGACATCAGAAATGATAGTGTTAGAAACATTAACAAGATCAAATTCTGTAGACCTATTTCTTTTTATCCTTTGAAGTGGAACTACCCAGTTTATTCTCATTAAGAACTTTCTGATATTTTAATGTTTATTTACCTATACGTTTTCCTTGTCTTCTCAAAAACAATTAAAAAAAAAATCAGCTTTGGTGTAACTGCCAAACCAGAGCTATCTTTAAACCAGTGAAACATACTGTAACGCAATATAAGAGAACAGAAAAGCATATTCAGTTGAAACTAGTTATATGACTTTTGAACTTCCGTTGAATTGAATGAGTAAAGTGAAGTTTTCAGTGAGCATACAGATGCAAGCCCTGCATTCAAAAGGTAGGCAACTAGTCTCACTCCAGCGCTGGTTAGTTATTATCATCTGAGTTTTTTTACACCAAATACAACCATGATGTAGACTATCAAGAAGTTAAAACTGTAAGCAAAGTCAAAGAGACACAATGCAGATGAAAATACACAACTTGAATAGCATTAAGATGAGGTATGTGGGAGGATTCTAATGTAAAGTTAATCTTTATTTTTCAGTGTTTGTTGCTGATTTGCTGATTTATATTCCTGCAGTTATTTTATATTGTTTTTCCTTGAAAGAAACATCTACTAAAAAGAAGGCAAGTATCTTGTGTGTGTGTAAATTAAAAAACAAAGCATACTGGTAAAACAGGGTAGAAATGTAACAGTATGAGAGTTAATTAACATATAGAACACTGTGATGGCTTCAGTGGACATAAAACTGATGACAATTGGTGTATCTTGTGTTAAGGGCTTTTCAGTTGAAAAGATGAAAAAAAGCCCTTAACTTTACAGCAATTATTTTCGTCCTTTCAATAACGAGATGGTCTGAAGTTTAGTAGCCATGAACTCATGAATTATATTTCTTTCTGAATTTATTACTTGGGTAGTAAAACCAAGATTTGGGGAACCTAGGAACTGCTTTGTCTTGCACACCCCTTATAGTAGAACCAAAACATTTTGGAATAATAAGTCTTCTGATTTCTTGTGTGGTTCCAGGGCGTGAGATGGGTGTGAGTGATCTTTGAGCTGGTTGGCAAAGGGCAAGCTGGTCTACATTAAATATTTCCTTATTTATGGAAAATCTTTATCCTTTTTTATTCCTCAAAATATTACTGACAAAATGTTACTTGTGGAGAAGAAGATTCCTACATATAGGGTACACCATGGAGGGGCAAATTTTTGCACTGGAGTAGGAGCCTAAGTTCCTCTGTGTGATGTATAACATAGAAATAATTATTTTCTCCTCTCTTTTTTTGATCCTTTCCAGGTTTCCAGTGCTCTCTGTATACTGCTTTATCCAGGCCTCATTCTTATTGACCATGGACACTTCCAGTATCCTTGTTGTGCAGTGAAATTAATTTCCATTTATGAAGTAACACTGTTCTTTAGTGCTTGTCTTTAGCTGGGCAGAAGGTTACTTTTGTATACGAAGCAACCTGAGTGGCTTCTGCCTACCCCAAAGCAGAGATATGAAAGAAAACTAAGTCTGAAAGATATTGGAGATAAATAGTTGATATTGGGACAAATCAATCCAAACATGAACAGCATTCTTTCTGTGCCTCAAGCTCATATTTCTGTCAGTCACTTTATTGCAGAAAACATCAATGGCACAATGACAGTGGAAAGAACGATGGCTTGTGCTCCTGTGATTTGTGTGTGCAGAGGGAATCACCATAGATCTTCTGGAGATGGCAGAGGAGTGCGGCAAGTTTAGTTGTGTAAAATGTTCAGTTCTATAAAATGTGCAGTTCTGTCTTGCCATTACGGTTACTTGAGACTGGATTCACTTCACTTAATGCCTGACCATTTAAAAGCTAGGCATCTAATAAGAGTTAGGCCATCAGAGCTAACTGGTCGATATTGGTGGCAGATACTTTCACAGGTGTGTTTTTTAATATGATTTCTGGTTTTATACTTGTTTTGCACATCAACAAGCAAATGCTGTTAGTTTACTGCGGGCTGTGCTGTGGAGTGCTGTTGAGCCAGAGGGATTCAATCCTGGAGTTGTGATAAATGTGGATATTTTAATATTCCAAGGAGATATTGAATCTCAGCATCTAGTAAATCAAGTTGTGACAATCAAATAGTTTACTAATTTGTGGTTTTCTTCCAAGAGAGTGCATGGTGAACTTGGAAGATGATGTATCTAAGAAAGCAGATTTTGAACGGAAAAAGCTCATAATGTTGTTATATTTGAATTAGAGTTCAGGAATTCTGATGTTCTGTTTTTGGCCTGACTCTTTAAAGACTGGAGACATCACTTACAAGAATGGGGATGGGAATGCATGCAATTCATCGTAAGTGAGAGAAGCTGGTGGTCAGAAGAAGGCACAGGTTACAGTTTTCTAATATATAAAAGATGTACAAAGAGGAAGGCAGTAATCTATTCTGTGTGTTTTATGTTGGATAGGGCAAGAAGTAACGGCCCAAAGTTACCATAGGGAATCTTTTTTTGTTGTTGTTTTTTTAATCTTAATTACAGTGAAATGCTGGAATAGATTATCTGGATGTTGTAGAATCTGCAGCATCAAGGTCTTTTGAAAATGTTCATCAAACCTTGTGTCAGAATGACACAGGTGTAGCAGCCGCTGTGTTTGAAGCAGACAGGTGTCTGCTGTGGTCTCTTCCAGCCCTGTGACTCTTCAATAACTTCACTATCTGTGACCAGCTCCTGAGAAGACAGTAAATTTACTTAACTGCTGCTGCATCTCTCTGCAAGATCACAGCCTTTTGGTATAGCAATTTGTTGACATGATCTCAAATATACGTGGGGGATTTTGAGTGGGAAAACTGAGTGGGCTGAAAACAACGTAGGCAATCTGAATGTGTTGTCACAGCTATTTATATTGACAAAAAAACCAAAATATTGTGACATTTCTGATATTACAGGTATCTCCTGCTTGGTTTCTCTCATTGTGTAAAAATAACAGTAAAAGACAAAGCTCATCTTTGGTTGCAATTTAATAGTAAGTGTGGCTTAGTCTCTTCAAACTCTACTGAGCTTGGGAACCTGTTCTCAAAGTCATAAGGAAGTAATGTTGCTTTTAGTAACTATTATTCATTGTTTGTACAGTATTAACAGCTAAGGGAATTGGTCATGGATGAGGGTGCGTGCAAGTACAATATAATCACAAAACCCCCAGGAGTCCTTGAACTAAATAATATATAATGTAAATACTGATGTATTTGAATATTCTGCACATATTTTCTGGGAGCTGGGAGGAGAGACTCTTGAAAGTTTTATCCTTAATCTTGTAAATACCAAGAAAAAAAATAGTTACCCTGATGCATTTTACTGAGTACTGTCACCAAAAGCTTAGCTGACTGAAAACAGGTATAATTAACACACACGCATGCTATTTGTCCTCATTTTTGCCTGTGCAAGCTTTGAATCAAGCCTTGGAAATATAAAAATTACACTTTAAATAGAAGTAAAATTATTTATTTCCAGGGACAGCATAGTCACAACTGGCAATGTGTTCTTAAAACTAACTTGGAAAAACTTACTTTGTGTGCTCTTTTATGCTTGTCCCTCAGGGCATTCATGGCTGACTTCCAGTACCAAGGTGTGTTTCTTTTCCTTGACATAAAAAACCATATACAACTCAGTGAGCCTGGGCTTTGCCTTGTGGGGTGTACTTTGTTTGTCTTATGACTGGGACCTTTTGGGGTCAGCAGCGTTTTGCTTGGCTCTAAATTATAAGCAAATGGAACTCTACCATTCTCTGCCCTTTTTTTGCTATTTACTTGGAAAGTGCTTCAAGAAAGGACTGAAAGGAAAGGGGTAAGCAACTTTAAACAATTTTATCTTTTTCAAGAATGCACCCAGGCAGCCTGGCATTGAGAATGTGATTCTCCTTATTTGCATGTGGGCATTTCTGAATTACTTTCTAGTGGAAGATACTTAACTTCTTGTAATGTATTCCTCTCCTGCAAAATAAATATTTCTTTCTGAGATGTACATTAAGGATTTCCACTGAACAAAATGCAAAATTTGTTAAGGTGTCCTGAGCTCTCTTCATGCTGTAAGCTAAATTAAGTGTGGGCTGCAGTGGGCAGCCAGGTTAGACTGACAGCAGTAGCTCTGTGATTCTCATGGAGTCGTTCTCACTAATCTGGGGATGATGAATTTTTTCTGTGGTACTGGTAGCTCTTTTCGTTTAGATTTGTTACCTTCAGTTCTCTATCTCTTTTTAGAAAAAGGTTTATGCCATACACTAAGAACTGACTTTTGTTACCAGTAGCCAGATTTCTCTTTTCTGATGTCAACTTTTCTCTTGATTGCAGATTAGTGTTGTTAACTAAAATAGCAGGGACAGTGGTGGCTTCCTTTGCTGTCTGCTGGCTCCCGTTCTGTACCGACATGGAACAAATCATGCAAGTACTCAGAAGACTCT